CATCCAATGCAAGGGTTGAAGGAATTGCAGCATCATCATAACCACTTCCAGTGGAATTGGCCTGCTTTTCTGGATTCTCTGCAAGGAGAAAATGATTCGTGTAGAATAGAAAAAGATAAGGTAGTCTGAGTGATATCCAAAGTTCCTTATAATGCCGAGATTATGCTAGCTGTACAAAGCTACACCAAAGGCACAAATACTTGATTTCAATATTTATATGAGCCACTCCAATATTTTAAAATATAAAAATGTATTAAAGTCAACAATATTCTTCTAACATGTCCTCTAAACATTAACAAAAGTTATTGTGCTAAGAATATAATAAGGCTCTATCTTTAATAAATGGTAAAAGAGTTGTAACACATAATAGATACTTATCAAGTGACTGAGGGAGGAGGGGCAAACCAGAACCAAAATAATCAGGATGCTCACTTACCTTCAGAGACTAAGGAAGATACACAATTACCAGGGAGAGGGCATTCTGGGCATCTCTCCCAGAGACCAGAGAGATCACAAACACCAACCATGAGAAGCCTAGCTTTGTCTCCCTTCCAATGTTTAGATGTCCCTAGGATTCTGTTTCTACAGAAGCTACTAGACATGCTCTGTTCCAAGAGGTATCAATATTTACCACCTCAGGAGCATCAAAGACAAATAACCTTCTCTTTTTAAACAAACAAACAAACAAACAAACAAACAAACAAACAAACAAACACAACAAAACAAAAGTCCCTAAGAGACCTCACATCTATTGCTCTAATTCTAATTTACAGTGACCTTATAGGTCAGAGTGGAACTGCTCCATGGTATATCCAAGGCAGTTCATCTTCACTGAAACAGATTGTCAAATCTTTAACCCACAGAGTAGCTGGAGGTTCAAGACACTGACTGAAAGCTGCTGAATGTTTAACTACCATGTTACCAGGACTTCTTTGTCTCCTCTTAGGCCCATGTAAATAAGAATTTCTGGTGGTTCTTATGGACAGTAGTATGAACTCCATGTATTCTAGAGTCTTATTAAAGTCAATTTCTCTTAGGTATCAATGTACATGTAAATCATCAAGTAATTAAAATACAGACCACCAGGAAAACAAATAAGTCTGTCTTGGAGATAGTGAAACCAAGTTTCTCCTTGGAGGCTAGGATTTTGAAGCTCTGTCTCATGCTCTTTGGGCACATGGCCAGGGACCAGTCCTTGGAGAAGGACATCACTCTTGGAAGGATCAAGGGACCATGTAGGAGAGGAAGACCAGGGATGAGATGGATTGATACAATAACTAGGGCAATGGGGGTAGGTGTGCCAGAGTCAGTGAGACCGGCTCAGGACAGGGCAGGCTTCAGAGCTGTTGTACACAGGGTCACTATGAGTCTCAGGCAACTTGGTGACACATAACAACAACAACAAACAATTCAAATATCACAGTATTTCAATGTCCAAATTATATTTTCCATAATGTTCTCTCTCACTATAGGATTTTTGAGATTATTACTTTAAAAGTAATAATTATTACTTTTTAAATTTTATTGGGAAAAACATATTGGGGGTACAAGGAGGCCAGGGTTGGGGGCAGAAGGGTGAGGATGGGCAGGGATGCAGTTGCAGAGCTGCAGAAATTGGTTGGTGGGGGGAGCAGGTGAAGGAAATGAAAAGGATCCAGTGGGGACCAGATGCTACAGGGGAATGATAAGCATTTTCCAATGGTATTTAAACCAACTATCTTATTGATTTGGGAACTGGATGCCGACTCTCTGGCTTCTTCATGCTGAAAAGGGGCGTTGATGAATAATTATTACTTTTTTTTTTTAATTTTTTGTTTATTTTAAAAAAAACCCAGAATGTTTATTAGTCCCAGAAGGGGTGGCCTGCATGGGGTGGTGGGTGGGCTAGATCAGGGTGTGTGTGGGCTGTGAGGAGTCTACAGTCATGGGGTGGGGGGTCTTGGAGGGAAGGAGCTGAGCTTGTTGGCCAGTTTCAATGGTGCTTCAGGTTTGCTAGTGAACATGTTTCGTGAAAGAGTCATGGCAGGCCAGAGCAATGCCCCCAATAAGATTAAGAAATTCTTGGAAATCTAGCTTCCCATCAGCGTTGAGGTCCAGTTTCTTCATCATGCGGTCAAGGACACCAGGCAGGGTCCTTCTGATTCTTTGTGAAGGCAGCCAGTTCTGTATTCATGAATTTCAGGAACTCCGTTTTGGAGAGGGTAAGGCTGTTTCCATCCTGTCCAGCGTACCTCTGGAACACGGCAATCAGGGACTCAATGCACCGCTCGGTCTCCGTGGGGCTAGTGACTTTTGCCATGTCGCAGCGGACCAGAGCGCAGTGGCTGTGGCTTGGAGTAGCGGGTGTGTGTCTAATTATTACTTTTAAAGTGTTTAGTTCTATAACAATACTGTAAGATGCACATCTGTGCCTAAAAAGAAGCAGTTATTGATACAGATAATGGAGCTTAATGTTTCCATTTCACAGGTCACAGAGTGCTTAGAAAGAGGAAATAATTATTTTTATTGTTATCTCAGTCACAAAAGGACAAATATGGCACAGTTTCACTCTTGTAAAATGTGACTGACATCAGGGTTGGGGGGAGATTGAGAAAGATGGGATAAATGATGTATACTGCATTGAAACAGATGAGGGAGAGAACTATTTAAAAGAGATATGTGATTAGGTATTTCTGTCATGATGGTAGTCCAGAACGAAGGCTGCATAGTGGAGTGGACTTGGTGGGAGGGATTGTATAACAATGAAAGAATTTTTCTTTTACTTTTCAAAGAGAAGAATGAACTGGGGGGGGAGGGGTGGGCAGGGAGACAAGTGCAACAATGATTGAATGGAAATCCAGTCTCTGTAAACTTTTATTGAAATTAATAATAAAGAATGGAAACCCAAGTTCTCTGTAACTGTTCATTAAAATTATTAAAAAAAGAAAATATTTTTTAAAAGAAAAACATTAATAATAAAAAAACCCAACTTCCTGGGAAAAAAAGTCACTAAAACTGTATAATAAAAAAATTATTCCTACTGTGAGAGTTGAGACCTTCCCCATCCCATCACAGAAAAACATTCTCCTCAGTTGGGATTTCTCTTCTTTAGCTCTATCATCCAAGGACAGATCTATCTCTATTACCTGGAGTAGATTCAGTACCTCCATCTTCTTCATTGTCCCCAGTGTAATATGGGAAGTCGGTAACTGACAGGTTTTCTGTAAGGAGAAAAACATCATAGACAAAGAGCTGAACTTTCCCCACATGATGTTGCTAGATGCCTTTGAGTCTACTATGACTCATGGCAAGCTTATCTATCAACAACAGATTTGTACCTTGTCCTATCCTGTACCATCCTCATGGTCTATATGAGGCTCAAGCTCATTGTGAGAGTCACTGTGGTAGTCTACCTTTTTGAGGTCTTTCTCTCTACACTTTTCTCAGCATGTTACTTCCCTCCAAGAGTTTGTCCCTCCTGATAATATGCCTGAAGTAAGTGAGATGAAGTTTCACCATCTTTACCTCTAAGGAGCATGCTGGTTGGACTTCTTTCATAACACTTTTCACACCAGGAGGTGGAATTTTAAGGTTCAGAAGAAATCTTGAGTCTTTAGCCTACTTGAGTCATTAGGACTTGGTGCTCCTGTCTTAGGAGGATGCTGCATGTGAGCCTGAATTAGTGATTGGCTTCGTACTTACTGAAGACACCTAAACTCACAACCAGTTCATATTACAAGTTGAGAGGATATGGAATACATACCCAAGCTGTCCAAAAAGTCCTTCTTCTCTGATTTTACAATGTAATTAATATCCTCATACAAAGCTTCTTCAAGGGCATCTTCAAATCCAAATAAGCCTAGGAAAGGCAGCATGAGTTCAGAGACTATCTACGAAGATATTCAACTAACTATATAGATGAAGCATTCAATGCCCCCTGCTCACCACTTAGAGAAACTTGCTGGGCTCTCAGGACACTTTACTGTAGCCTTATGCTCTTTGTGCCAGAACTAGGCTTCTTGATATAGATCTTCATCATACAAACATTCACACTGGAAGCTATACTTTATGAACACTTCCATTTTGAATCCAGGAACAAGGACTTAGCTATGCAAATATTGGAGTCTATTATACAGAAAGGGGAATTTTGCACGATGAAGAGGCTGAAGATTTAAACTCATAATTTTCTTGATATCACAAGTGACCCAATATTGTCCTTCTATTTCCTAGTTAATTTAATAATCCCTGAGGCCTACCTTGTTTCTCTGTTTCTCTTTTCCGTAGCTGAGCTCCCAAGATAATGAGGACCAGGAAGAGAAGAATCCCTAGGATGACACAGAGTGTCTCTGGCAGGGAGAGGGTGTCAGAGCGAGGTAATGAGGGTGAACTGGTGCCTAAACAACAAACAACAACAACAAATGTTTTAAGACTTTAGATAAGATTGTAATCTCAATAGAACTTCTTGCCCCAGTAACCTCTTGAGTCCTCACAATTGTGAAGTAACCAGTTTAGATAAAGTGGGTCTTCCTGAATCTAAGATGTGCCTGAGCCAGGATCTGCTCTGAGCTGTGTAAACTGTGTTCTGAATCTGAATCGAAGAGATTTTTAGAAAGTGGATGCTGGCATAGCCTAGGAGCTTCATGGTTTCAATAACTTGATTAAGATCAACACTTGGCAAATAGATCTTTCTGTTGTCAATGTGATTAACATTTTGAGGATATGGAGATTTTGTAGTGCAGGTCTTCGAAAAATCTGAGTATCTTCCCCAGCACAACCTTAAAACAGAAGCATCACATACTTTCAAGGTTGGAGGGAGAAGTTTTTCTCTCACCTGGAGGGAAGAAAAAGAAGATGGGACACTGGAAAAAAACCCCCAACATAAGTTCACACCATCACCAACATTTACGTTTCCCCAAATCTCAGGAGACCACTACATAGCCAAAGCCAGACCACTACATCTCCAGATCTAGAAGGCATCAGGTCTGCCCGGGATGTAGTTCAGACATAAATTCTGTTTCCATTCAGCATGATACCATATTCCCATTCCTGTACTCACCAGAACACCTCACTCCAGCATCTTCTTTGTGCTTGCAGTTGCTTTGTCCCCAGGGCTGTGCAGCACAGGCCCATAAAGAGGACTCTCCACCCCTGCACTGCACTTCATCCAGCCAGATGGTCCCATTTCCTGGGCCAAACACAGCCTCTGGCAGGGCTTCCAGGGCAGAACCACAGCCTAGTTGTCGGCACACCACCTCAGCCTCTGCCAGGCTCCAGGAGTCACCACACACTGTACCCCAGGAACCATCGTGCCAAACCTCCACTCGTCCTGAGCACATGGTGTCTCCTCCCTGGAGTCGGAGCTTATCTCTCTCTGAAAGATAGCAGCACTTTCTGTTACTGGCTTACTGGGAAGGAGGATCACCTGAGAATGACAGAGAACATGAGAGAGAGATGTACCTGTGCAGGGGGTAGTAGTGGTGGGGCAGCTTTTGGATTTCTTTCCTGCAGAAACAAACAGTGAAGAGCTGGGTCAGAGGGAGCTGGTAACTGTTAGGTGGTCATCCTATCTGATGATTTCAGAACTTCCTAGGGGCCCATTGCATACAAGGTAATGGAAAATTATGATCATAGAGAAATCAGAAATTTTCTATCAACTCTAGATGGATAACTGAGACATATATCAGTTGTTTTAATTTTCCCCCTTTGACTTATAGTTTCATCAGGAGCTAAGTGCTTGATTATGATCCAAATGATTAGTGTTTTCAACTCACTCAGAGGTGCCTTGGAAGACTAATATGTTAATCAGATTTTGGACACGTCATGGCCTTAAACATCTTGTGAAACAGTTCTACTCTACACATACGTGGTTGTCATGAATCAGAAAGGATAAGCTGACAATCGGTGACCATATCAACAAAGCCTCATCAGATTAAAGAAAAACAGAAGGAAAGAGTTTTGGCTTCTAGAGTTGACTTCATTACTAAAGTGTTACTTAAGGGCTGTTTGCATTTTAAAATTAAAGCCACATGAAGAACTCTTCCACTCCCAGTGGTCCTGAGCCTGACTGCCTGAGAAGTGGTGAAGTTTTATGCTTTTGAGCTATGTGTGTCCCAGAGTCAAGAATGCTTGCATTCCTTCTCATATTGAAAGTACTTTGGGCTGGCAAGATCGTTGTGGAGATCTGAGGATGGTAGAACATAAACCATGAGATTTGCAAGAAGAGGTAAGTTTCTTGTGATGTTATGGCATTCAAAAAGGACAACTTCTAGTGGGACTGTATTTTCTAACCCAGCTAAAGAGTCAAGGATTAATGTCCACCACAAAGGAGTGATGGCTTCTGATCTCCCCAACTCCTCTGCTCCACTTTCAGTTTCCTAAGTCCCAGTTAGTATCTCACTATTGTCAATCAGCATCACTCTACCTTACTTGTGCTCCCCATTACTATCAAATTGCTTTTTATCAAATAATTTTATTTTCATAAAGCTCGTAACCATTTGAAAGCAGTCCTTTAATTTAATCCTTTGTTTTTAATGTTTTAAATCAATTGCTACCACATAATAAAATTAGAATACGGGTATTAGCTGTTTTATTACTCTAGTTCTTAGAAAATTACTTGATTCATAGAAAAGTATTTGATTCATAGTAAGTGTGTAACAAATATGCATTTGCTGGGAGGAGCCCTGGTAGCCTACTGGTAAGGAGCTGTGCTGCCAACCCAAAGGCATCTGTTTTGAATCCACAAGTTACTCGATGGGAGAAAGATGGGAAATTGCCTCCTGTGCAATTTACAGCTTCTGAAAATTGCCTGCAGTATCTTCTATGAGTTGGCTCCAACTTGATAGCACATATCAATAATAGCAAAATTATAAATTAAAAGGGACTAAAAAGTTATAACAGAATAAATAATATTCAGAGTCTTTTATGGAATCCATTTTGGTCTTTCTTTCTTCTTCCTTTTTTGCATTCTTCATAAACGATATTCTTGGTATCTTCCCACAACTCATCTGGTCTTCATTAGTGATCAAGGCCTCAAACTTGTTCCTGAGTTGGTTTTTAAATTCAGGGGGGGTAGACTCAAGATCAAATTTTGATTCCTGTAGATTTGATTTAACCTTCTTTAGCTTTAATTTGAACTTACATATGAGTAGTTGATGGTCTGTTCCTGGCCTAGTGCTTAGCACCTGGCCTAGTTTTCATTACTGATATTGAACTTCTCCAATGATTCCTACCACAGATGTAATCCAGTCTGATTCCTGTGCATCCCATCAGGTGAAATCCATGTTTATAGCCTGCATTTATGTTTCTTATAAAAAGAATTTGCTTGCAACAATGAATGAATGGAAATCCAAAATCTCCATAAATGTTCATTAAAATTAATAAAAAGAAAAAAAGGTATTTGCCATGAATAATTAATTGTGCAGAATTCTATCATTCTGTCCCTAGTTTCATTTCTGTCACCAAGTTGCCCCCTATTTTCCGACTACTGATTCTTTTTCCTGGTTGCCAACTTTCACATTCCAGTAACCCATTATTATTATTGCATCTTGGTTACGTGCTTTATCAATTTCTGACTGCAGCAGTTGGTAGAAAGCATCCATATCTTCCTCTATGGCCCTGGTTGCATAAATTTGATTGATAGTGGTATTAATAGGTCTTTCTTGTATGTGTATGGATATTATCCTGTCATTCACAATGTTGTATTTTAAGATACATCTAGAATTGGCCTGTTTAACTATGATAGCAACCCTGTTTCCCCCTCATCTTTTCATCTCCATATGTAGACCATATAATTGTCTGATTAAAAATGTCCCATGCCAACCCATCTCATTTCACTAATACCTAATATTTATGTGTTCCATTTCTTTCTTTACAATGTCTAGTTTTTCTACATTCATGCTTTTCACATTCCACATTCTAATCATTTGTTTCTGCTTACAACTGTTCCTCTTCCTTTGTGTTCCCAAACTTGAGGGCTCAGCCTCAGTTGACATATCTGTTAGTCTACTCTAAGGGTGCTCTACTGTACATAGAGTTTTTAAAGGTTTGTTACATTTTGGAAGTGGATGTCCAGTCTTTTTACTTAGTCTGTCATAATTTAGATGCTTAGTTTTAGAACAATGTCTGACAGACAAGCATTTTATCGAGTAGATGAAAGACACTTCCCTTACAGAAATAACCATACATTCACTGTCCTCCCACCCAAGCAGGTGTGTCTTGTCTCTTCCCTGTCCCTGCTACATCGATATTCCTTGCATCCTCACCTACCTAGTCCAACCCTGCCTTCCTGAGCCACCACTTGAGATGATAGCTTAGTCCACAAGTCACTTCTGTGATGTCTTGCACCACACACTACTTCTGGTATTTCATGCTTTTGCCTGTCTCACGGTTAGGAGGATGTAAGTCCAAATCCCATGTATCAGCTTCAGGGAAAATTTTTTGCCTGAGGAAGTACTGAGAAAATATCCTTTTAACTGAGCTTCTGCTAAGTTTTGTGATTTAGTGTCTCTGTCTACACTGTTGTCACAACGTGGTAATTTCCAAGGTCTGGAGAGGTCTCTTCTAGATCTGATATGGTGGTGGTGTTTCTATGGCCCTCGGGCCTTTGGACCTTTGCTTGAGACTGAATGTCTTGCCTGAAAGCCTGATTGTTAAGGAATCTGATGGAAGCCACCAGCATCTTTGAGGGAGAATTTAGAATATCAGAAAACACAGAAGAGAGTCAGCTATGAGTTGGCTTTGACTTGATGTGATTAGTTTGAGTTTTGAGTTTTTTAAAAAAATGACTTTTAGGAATTTATTCATTTCTTTTTTTTTTTTTTAAATGTGTTCCCATTGCTATGAACTGCCCCTGTGGACTGAAGGCAAGGATTTTGAAGCTTCATCTCACATAGTTTGGACATGTGGCTAGGAAGGACAAGTTCTTGGAGAAGGACATCATGCTTGGAAGCATGGAGGGACAGTACAAGAGAGAAAGACCCCAGATGAGATAGATTAACAGAGTTAACTGAGTTAATGGGAGTAGGTGTGTCAGAGTCAGTGAGACTGGCTCAAGATAGGACAAGATTCAGAGCTGTTGTACATTAGGTTGCTCTGTGTCACAGGTGACTGGATGGCACACAACAATTACCACTCATCTTTCAGAACTTTTTGTAGGTATTTCTTTCTTCCCAGACTAATATCTTAATCACTTTCCTTTTCAGAGAATGTGACACTTATCTCCCAACATATTATTTAGCTCTTTATCACTAGCCTGAAATCTTCTGAGTACATATACATATCCTTTCCTGCTTTTTGTTTCAGTAACACAATCTTATTAATAAGTGGTGCTTAATAAAGGCTTAAAGACTTACCTCTCAACTTAGACAGGCTCAATTTGCAATTTAAAATATACATCAACATAGAATTGGATAAACAAATGTATATAAAGGTGGTACCAATTTCAGACAAATAAATCACCTTCACAATTGATGTGAGCTACATGTTTTGGAGGGCACGATCTGTTGTTCCAGGGATTAGAAGGACACTGCCACAAGATGATGTCACTTTTTTTACATTGGATTCCATCTACCCACACAGATTGAGAGACTTTTCCATTGGCAGCAGAGTTGAGCTCCCCAGTGTCCCCACAGCCTAACTGTTTGCAGATCACAGACAGGGTAGTGGGCTCCATTGGGCTTCTGCAAATGCCACCCCACGTCCCATTGTAGAAGATCTCCAGCCTCCCAGCACAGTCATGGTCCTCACTCACCAGCCTGAGGGCCAGGGATTCTGAAAGTAGAGATGGAAAGAATGAAAGAACTGAGGTCCAGTTTGGTTGAGTTTGCCACTTACTTCTGCATGATGAAATTGTTATAACAAGAGTGCCTCTCCCTTTGGAGGAGTTAATAAATTTTTTCTTATCTATTTTCTTAATTGTAGATTTAATCCTTACCCTTATGCCTAGTTATATTTCATTATAGTGGACAGGTTGAGGTGAAATAAAGCAACTTCAACCTATCTATAGAGGATGTACACACAGACACATCCTCCATGTGTGGGAACCTTTTAAGTCATTATTATTACTATGTGTAAGAAATGTTCCTGCTTTTATTTAGGAAACATTTAGAAAAAAGATCTCTCATGAGGTGAAATCACGGTAGGCAGATAACTATCATTCACAAGTGTTTAACTAGTAAAGCATATGGAAAAAACCTCCTTTCTCCTCTGACTCATCATCCTCAGGGGGCCACAACCCAAACCCTGTGGAGCTCCAACCTTTCTCTTCCTAAATATGGAACATAGAAAACAGACCTGAGCAGATGACTCCTGCATCTTCCTTGTGTCTGCAGTTGTGCTTTTCCCATCCCGGGGAAGGACATTTCCATATGTGGGATTCTTGTCCTGTGCAGTTCAATTCATCAAGCCAGATGGGTCCTGTTCCTTGTCCAAAATGAGCATATCCAGTTGCATTAATGACCACTCCGCAGCCCAGCTGTCTGCACACCACTTGTGCGTCATTCACATCCCATCTGTCATCACAGATGGTCCCCCAGGAACCTTCATGGTAGACCTCCACTCTCCCATCACAACTGCTGCTCCCATTCACTAGGCGGATCCAATTGTTCTCTGAATGGAGAGAGAGAGAAAGAAAAAGAAAGAGAAAGAGAGTAGAAGAGAGAAAGAGGAGGAGGAGAGAGAGGGAGAGTGTTATGTCAATGAGTACATTGTAGAAGCACAAACTGTTCAGGAGACATTTATTTGTGCAGGGATGGGAATGGATTATGTTTCTGTAGGATCCTCACCTGAGCAATTGGAAGCTCTGTTTTCTGAGGCAGTGGAGTGGTTACATAGGGGTAGCAACTGGGTCTGGTTTCCTATAGAAACAGTATTAGAAGAATTAAGCAATAAGAAACTGAGTTAAACAAAATAAAAATTAATGATGAATCTGAGGTAAAAACTCTAACTGGTGTTTCATTATTTAGAGTTAAGCTTCTTTGTTGGATTCTGCTTCGGACAACGGTAAATACAATTTTAAACAAGCATTGCACTGACAATGACTCTAGAAAAGCTGGAATACATGAACACTCTTTGACAGCATTGCTTATTGACAAATGCAGGAAGAAATTTTGGAACTAGAATCTTAAAGAAAACCAAAGGGCAGAGGTAGCCTCATTTTCCAGTTTAAAGCCAAAAGTTGAGAAAAGAGAAACACAGCAGAAATTTTGTTAGACTCATTGGTCGGAGAACCCATATTTTAAGTAAAGGTGTGCTAAAATGGGGAGATGTGTTACACACCCAGAAAATCAGTACAAGATGAGAATAAGTGAATAAAAAGTAGATCATTCTTCAGATGGATGGAGGCATACCTTGTAATCACTTGTATTTCTTAAAAATATAGTGATTTATACCTAAAAAGTCATCTATACCGAGAAAATGTCAGATGAAATATTTGAAATAATTTCTATTTCTTTACCATAGCACTTGTCAATTAAAAAAAAAGCTATATATAGAAACTGGAAGCAGGAGCTGCATCCACTTCCGAAATGGCTTGTCTCCGGAAACTCTATGTATGAACAGTGCTCAGGCCGTTCGTTCATAGGGTCGCTATGAGTCGTCTATGACTCGACGACATCAAACAACAACGACATATATATAGAAAACACAAGATGTGATAAATTACCTAGAGGAGAAAGATACACTAGCAAGATATTAAAGAATTTCTGTATTGGTGGAAAGAGAGATAAAAGATACAATGGAATAGAAGAGAGTCTAGGTCAGATTAAAATGTATATGAACTCTGTTCATAAGAGGGAAAACAAATTTTTAGGGACAAATTCTGTGAAAATTGATTTTCATGTAGAGATAAAAACATAACTCCTGTCTTGTATCTACAGAGAAATAAATTCTAGAAATGATTGTACAATTATTTGTAAAAGAAAAACAATTACACTTCCTTATGATTCTTTAAAAGAATATCTTTATGATCTTTGAGTATAGAAGGTTTCCTCTTAAAATGAATCTAGTTAGCACAATGTGTACAGGAAAATTTTGATGAATTAAAATTAGAAATTTATTTAATAAAATAATATGATTTAAAAAAATGAAAAGAAAATGCTAATCATGAAACATCCCAAATAATAAGAGACATATTGTTGTTGGTGTTGATTGCCTTCCAGTCAATCACGACTCATAACGACCCTATGAACAAAAGTCCTGAAGCCCCTCTACTACTACCGACATTTATCAAAGTTCATACAATTTCTGGAGACTTGTTGTTGAGGAAGTGGATGCCACTCCTGCTTCCAAATCTGTCATAGTATGTTATTGTAGTTATGTGCCATTGAGTCACCTGCAATGTATAGCAACCCTATGTACAGCATCTCTGAACCCTTCCCTGTCCTAGGGCAGTCTCACTAATTCTGACACACCAACCTCCACTGCCCCAGTTACTGTATCAACCCATCTCATCCAGGGTCGTCTTCTCCTGTGCTGCCCATCCAGCCTTCTGAGCATGATGTCCTTCTTCAAGGACAGATCTCTCCTTG